CCACCCTGCGGTCGGCCCCGCCCCGCCCCAGCTAACCCCTCCTCCTAGCTCCTAAACCAATGAAAATAACTATTTGCGAGCTTGTTCTCAACTTTTGAGAATGAAGTCTTATTAAAGAAAAAAGGAGAACATCGTTTTAAAAGCTCCCATTCGGTTTATACGCCGCGGGAAGGTTATAACGTATGGGTAATCCAATGTCGAAAGGTTTTGCAAAACACTTTTGCTGTTAGTTTTCATATAATCTAAGAGATATTGCACTTAACCTATTTACAACCTCCTTAGACTTGATCATATGCATTCCTAAGGATTCTGTATGGACTGGTACCACAGGAAGTCCATGGGGGACTGCGGCGTGGGGGTGGGGAAGAGTGACCACATGACCTTGGGTGTCACCAACTCTAGGGATTCCACTGTGCCTGCGAAATGATTAACTCCCCCTGCTCACCCCCCCACCCCTGGCTGACATCACGTAGAATCTCCAGTAAGTCACATTTCTTATTAGATCCGCCCTTGGGCTGCTATTAATCCCCTCCCCCGCCAAAAAAAAAAAAAGAGGCCTATGGTGTAGTTCTGCATTCTACTGGATGGTCTGAGTGGTGTCCATTTCTGCCCAACCCTTTTTCCTGCACTGCTGTGGTTACTTGCCTTTGATTGGCCTCCAGCTCTTGGTATCTTCTGTGTTAAAAAAACCCCAAGTATTGCTGTTCTCGGCCACTTTCGTGAACGTTGGCCTGTTTCAGCCCTTTGTTTAGCTTAATTATGTCCATTCGCCTCATTATGGGTCTCCATTCGCAACCTGCTCCTTTTGTAACAAGAGCCTTGGGGAAATACTTAACTGGTGAGAAATTCATTCCACAAATATTTTATGCCTCCCATGCGCAAAGCACATTCTATGCCCTGTACAGCATGCAAGGATTAATAATTATGTAAGTCAAGGCCCTTAAAACAGTGTCCTCTATTAAGTGCTGAAAATACATGCTGCTCCCTATGAAGGGCTTACACTGCACTGAGTATGATAAGACTAACAATAAATCACTTATGTGATAAAATGAGTATGGTTATATGGTGACTCAACTACGAAGAGGCAATTAATGCTTAGGAGTTGGTAAGAGTGCT